TACAGCAGTTTGGCAAGCTTCTGCTGGGAAAGAAATGCAGAAATATTGTAGCAAATGATGGTCCGTCTCAAGATTAAGTGGTTTTTAAAAACCATTACCATTTTAATGTCTGTAGATTGCACTAGTCCTGACATTAGTATAGTCATGCCCAGAACAATCTGAATCTAATTTGTATTGTTATTTATCTATTACTGCAAAATAAGCACATTCAGTGGACAAATTTGCCATTATGACTCCACATGAAGGGTTCAGTGTCATCCTGAACTATAACTCCATCACCATTTACCTCTTTTTATTGGCAATGAACAGCACTTAACACCCAGTCTATAAGAAAGCCAGAGAAGGCATTTGCTAAATTGATTATTTTCCCTGTTGCATAATTGTCTGCTTATGAACATTCCAATGGGCCAAAAATATAATACATGGGAGAGTGTTTAATCAAATAAGTAGTTTCTATCAATTTAACAGGCAACTTACATGTGATACACAACAAAGGCAACACATTCATCTTGTCTAATTAAAACACACACATAAGTCTTACTCAGGGTTAAGATGATTGCAGTTACTTACTTCCTTGCTTCCCTAGTGAAAATATAGCTTTCTCATAGTTATTTTTCTATTTATTGTGTGTCTCAGGACTGTGCACAAAGAATCAACTGGGAACAAAACAGTTTCTTTGGGTTTTTGGAATTGACCTTGTGGACCTCTGAGTGCTGCAATTAAAAGAGAATGGGGTTTTGCTCCTTGGGTCACTGGAAGTAAGGCCAGATTTTTGATCCGCATCCAAGTCCAGTATGTCATCACACATGAACAGGAGAGGTTAAAAGGGCAGATTTTTAAGCATTTGTCTGTGTGACTGCTGCCTGATTTGTACACCCATCATTTCTACAGTTGAATATGTAAATAGGGCAACTATGGTTCCTTGGTATGTTTCCTTGTGACTGAAATTTTAAGTTATATACTTCATGTATAAACAGTCAAATGGATAAGCTGCTGTGCCTTACTGAACATCTATACCCACACTCATAGCAGCCTGAGTTAATACTGGAAATAACTGAATTTCCTAAATGAAGCTAAACGAAACATCTGAATTTTCACGCAAAAAACCAAGATTTGTAATTAGAGAAAACTTATTTTGTTTGTTCTGCAAACAGATGAGTGGATATACTAAAAAGATCAGGTAACTCTCTGGTCAAATATCGTAACAGCCATCACCCTTTCTAATTTAACAGCTTGGTCTTTCTAAGAATGCTTTCCCTAGACATTTTTAGTGCTTTTTAAGTATCAACAATTAAATTTTGCAATGCTGAGATCACCAGAAAGCAAAAACTGGTAATGTAATCAGTGAGGATTGCTGAAGAACTTTGGTTGACATGCTCACTTGTATTAAGAATTGGCTAACAGATCAGGGCAATACCTCATAAAACTGCAAACAGCATTGAGATGCTTATTTAGCCAAAGACTTTGAATTTAACGTCTAATCAAAAACATATCTGCAAGCAGCACAATGCCTTTAAAACCCATACCAAGTGCATTTGGCATTAGTGTCGCTCTGACGCAACAGCAAGAGTGCCAGTCAGCATTGAAAAAGAAAAAACATTGCTCTTCAGCAATTAACTATTTCCAACACTAAAGCTGCCATAGAACATTCAACAGTCTATCATCTGATTTTTCAGAAGTAATGCTTTCTCTTCCTTTTTTCTTTTTAAATTAAAAAAAAAAAGGAAAAAAAAAGAAGAGGTTTTTTGCTACATAGGGAAAAGCTTACTGGAAAATATGGAAGTATTTCAAATCTTTTTAAAAATTCTAGTTTTTCTGTCTTATTGACAGTGCTTAGAAAATGTGGCTTGACTTGTTTGTGATTGCTGTTTAAATAACAGATTAATTTAATAATCACTAGGATATTGAATAACAATAAATTATGGGGTGGGACAGCCAAACCCTGACCCTAATGACATTCTCATGTTAATTCTTATTTTCTTTCAGGCTCCTGCTTTCTTAATAAAACCTATATTTTTGAAAATTATTTTTAAACATTGCAAATTATCCCAAAGTAGCATTTATTTTTTTGCTACTAAGAGATAAGTTTACATCTAGAGAGTGTATTTTCTATGTCTGTATACTCTTATTGCCTGACCCAAAGGCTGCTTAAGTGTATAGATGTCCTTCCATCAAGTTTTCAGAGATGGCTGAAAAGTTGAGCCAGCTATTTGTGAAGTAATTAGCATGTAGTCCTTTCTACTGTGTGATTTATTTGTGAAGATACTTGATTTAGTACCCAAGATTAAAAATTATGATTGAAAGCATTTATAAGAATAAGGCTGAGTTTATAGCTACAGTTGGTAACTGTTCCCCTTGGTAACCATGAAGTTCAGAGTATTCCTGGTAGATCAGTAGCAGCACACCCAGGATGGTGTCACCTGTGTGACTTTGTAGTCTATGACTGTGACTTTGTTAGCAATAACACAGTGTTTGTGCTCCAAAATGTCTTATCTAAGTAACATTATGCAGTTTTGATTAATATCAGTCATCATTTTTACTTCTACTAAGAGACTGCTTTTAGTCTCCTTTTTCATGCAAGGGCTTTACAGTAGTGCCTGACACTGTAGGAATAAAAGACAGTGACTTGAATGAGTAACTCCTGACACTAACTTTCTTGCAGCACACTATCTGCATGGCTTTACGCATCTGTTCCCAACATATTGACTTTTCCGGTGTCTTTCAAATAGGTTTGCAACACTAGAGGGGGAGTATATTTAGCTAAATATCTAAAAATAATTTTTTCTATTAGTAATCAAGATTCCCAAGTATATATCACAAACAGATTAATCTGTAACATGATCCAAGGACACAAAATAATCCCATTGACTCAAAGAGATCTGAATCAAGAGCCCAGTATGCAACAATGTGGTGCAGATTAACCGTTGAACACAGGATCAGTTCAAACTCGCTGCAGATGAGGTCGAACTTTAATTTTGACTGATGGAGCCTATCATTCTTAAATTACAAGTATTTAGCAATACACTTGCTTGTAAAAATATTTATTGCTACTGAGGCCATGAAACAGAAAACTGGGTCAGAAGATGTAGGTCTACAAAGGACTTTGGGTCAAATTCCTTAGCTGTTCTGCGGGAAAGTGTCCTGGGTTATAACAAAAATATTTGGAATCCAACGCAGCCTGCAATCTTAGATGCAATTTGTAGATTGTTAATGACAGTGGGTAAATGGTATAATGAAGAACTTTCCCATGAGAATCTAATAGTTCTTCTGGATTATTTCTTTAGGTTTTGCCATTGCTTGTGGAGAAAAATAATGGGTGCCTTGAGATCAGTTTGTAACTTACATGGTTTTCTTTTATTTTTTTGTTCCACTGTGGAACACAAAATGTTTTTCTATGAAAAAGATCTTAGTGCATTATTTTTGAAATACTATAATTTTCACTAAACTCAGTTTCCAGCTCAGTGCTGTCCAAGTATTGCAGAATTGTGTTATTTTTGAAAGTTATTTCCTTTGACCTGAAGTTACCTAAGAAGACAGGCTGAAATCTGCATTCCTTTGAAAAAAACAGGTCCTGTTAAATTAATCTTCTTTTCGTGGAATCATGTATGTTTAAATATTGCAAACAGACAAGATGTATGATAACCTGTACAAATTCTCAGTAATCTTCTGCTGAATGAACACACAGTAAGGCTGCATGAATTCTACAATGCTGGCATGAAGCACTCACAGCATTGTAACTTATATTGTATTTGATATGTCAAGTGGAAAAGTCACGTCTTGATTTTGTTGAGTTTGTACTTCTCAGGCAGTGGGGGTTATTGTTACACTTAAAGGGTTCCTTAGATCAATTTGCAAAGTACTTTTGTGCTTCTATCCCACAAGGCCATATAAAAACAATTGTTCATACTAGACATTCATCATTTCCTTATAATTAGAAGTTGGTCAGTAGCAAATTAAAAGGGAATATTAACACTTAAAATACACCCCCAGTGTTCTTACTCCTATTTCCTGCTTTTAAACAATGAAGATATCACAGAGAATATTTAGGAGCAATTCCAAAAGCACACCTACTGACTTCCAAGAGTTTCCACCTCTAGATTAATTTAGTCTGAAAAGGGAGGGTTGTAACCATTTTTGTTTGATTTATAAATTCTTCTTGACATTTTATATTGATAGATAAATTATTGCTATAAATACACATCTCCTTTGCAATGATTACCTCTCAGCATAAAGAAAATCAAATTAAGAGACTTAGCGAAACGCAGAAATTTGCATAAACAACACCTGTGCAATTCTTCAATTACAATGTAACAGAACTACAGTAAAAACATCCCTGGACATAAGCACAGAATGCAGAGAAAAGACATTTTCAGTATGAAGGAGGAAAGTTAGACTGAAGTCTTTGTCTTTTAACCCTAGGAGGGGAGACTTTACAGTAGCAATGGTAGGACTGACAAGGTTACAGCACTGACGTGAGATTTGTTACTACTAACTCAGCTTCCCAGCACTGACAGTTTGGAAGATAGGTTTAATCCCATCCCACTCTTTCAGACTAACAATTCTAAGAAGGAAACACTGTTTGGCATGCAAGTAAAACAACCAGATCTCACTGTACCACAAGGAAACTTCTAACCTATCCAGTCATTCCTGTATAGGAGATCTAACAGCACTAACCCTTTTATAACTAAGTCTTCACAAAATATGCTTTTAGAATCCTGTCTGTGTCCAAGAAAAGTCTTAAAGCATTCACTATTCTTTGAAATTAGCATCAGCCTCTACTGGTTTTACTTTTTTTGGTAGAAAAGAACAGGCATTGCCTTAAGTTAAGAGTATCAAACTTTAAGATGACCCTTGTAATAAGAGAAATGACACCCTGACAGAGGTCAATATAGAAGATAAAACATAGCAGACCTGTACGTTCTTCAACTTTACCTTGAATAATTCAGTTTTACTGCTTTGTCACAAACAGTTGTATAAAAAAAAACATTGAAAGGGCTTACTTGAAACAGTCATCGCAAGCAATATTCCCCGTGGTCTCCTTTATAGTGCGTTCGGAAACAAAAGCTGGATATTCAGTATCACAGGGCTCTAGGGTTTGTTTCAACCTCTGAGCTATAGGCACAGGAAAAAATATCTTGATGTTAACATGGGAAGAACAGCACACAAAATTCTGAATAACATGATATGCTGCATTACAGAGTTCACTGAGACTGGAAATGTTACTCAGCTTCTGCCACCCTGTGAGATTTCCTAGGCAGTGCATAACACTATTTTTTCAATTAAAAAAAGTTTATCCATGGAATGCAATTTTGTAAGACATAACTGCTAAAGTGGTTCTTCATGTTTTAGCCACTGCCAACTTACAGTACATTTATGCACAAGTTTTATTCTTTCTCCATAGATTAAAGATGGACTTACTGTCATTCTTATTTCAATGATGCTGTCCATCACTGTTATGTAGGGAGTTTACTTTTATTTTATATCTAAAATATGGTACGTTTTACTGAAGCCAAAACCCATTTTGGGCTTACAGCTTGGGAATCTTTGCAGAGTTTCAGCACTTAGAATAACTCTGCGGGTGGGGGGCAGAAGTGTTAGCTTGCCCAGAACCAATGCTTGTTATCTACTTCCCAAAACAGTAATAATTAAGACTCTGTAACACTAAATCTGAAGCCCTTGCAGTGCAAAGGAAAAGAAAGTGTCACTATTTACATTGTAAAGATTGGGAATTTGAGGTACCATGAAGCAGTGAGATTGATTCAAGGTCAAACTACAGGACAACAGCAAAGCTGGGAACCTAAGGCAGCTCTTCTGACTCTCACACCTGATGGAACGGTGACTCTCCCTCATTCCCTTTCTTTTTCCTCCCCACCCCTTCATTCTTCCTTAGCAGAGAGATACACTTGCACATCAGCACAAATGTTAAGCCTATCTTAAACTAATTGCTAAGTGAGAAAACAAGACAAGGTATGACAAAAATAGATTACACTGAACAGGCTCTTGGACTCGACAGATCCTCCATTCAAGATAATCTGTTTCAGAGCCAGTGGTCTATCTGCTGCACAGTGCCAGGGTAATGACCAAAACTGCATTTGCAAACATGCACTAGGGCATGCAATGATGAGCTGTTCATTTGTATATAATTTAAAAAGCATTTCTGCAGATGCACAGATCTCAAGGGAGTTGCTCAGAAAAGTTTTGTTATTGCTGATATTTTCTCTGTGGTTGTGACATATTTAACAACTTAGCTTTTTTGGGTTTTTTTTGTTTGTTTTTTTTTTAAATTGTCTCACTAGTTCTACTGCACCTCTCCCTTTCTCTTTAGTTCCCCTTATCTGTTACCAAGAATGACTGAAATTTATCACCTGTATTTTAGTTCTGCCCTCACTTGTATCATCAACATATGGCTTGTGTAACAAGGAGACTGCCAAAGGTCCATGGGTTTCATTTCCAGCACCTCGTCAGAGTCCAGAAACAATTGGGTTGCCCAAGGTTTAGCCATCATTTTCTTTTCTCTCATTTACAAATGTGATGGAGATTACAAGATCTTGTGTGGAAGTATTTGTCATACTAGGATTTACTAAATTGGCAGGTGTGTGGGGATCCTCTAGGCTCATGGTAATACATGATGCTCTATTAATTGATGTCACAATTTGTTCAGGAAACAATTTCTCCATTAGAGGAATTGATTTTTTATAAATATATATATATATATAAATATTTTTAATATTTTTAAAATATTTTTAATATTTTCCCTAACATCCAATGCAACTGTCATTGGACGTTTAATGTCAGGATATATCAAGGTATATTTGTACAGTACACTTGAAAAAACATCCATAGAAGTTACTCATTCCCTTCACTGTCTGCTTTGCACTGTTCTGCAAACATTAAGGACTAAGACTGGCTTACCTGCCTTCCTCTTCAAACATAGGGAAGTTTTGCATTTTCTGGGTCTAGCACAGCAAACCTTACTGTCCTTCACATTCATCAGAGTGAAAGACATTTTTCATCATGGGTAGGGAAACAGCTGAAAAATTAATCTTGATTTTAGAGGACCTGTGTAGGCTCTGCTGTTTACGAAGCAGCCCCAAAAGCAGAGTCTGGCTGGTTTGTGTCCACTCTATTTCAGGCTCATTGTTCAAGTAACCACAATGTATACTGCAGTGTGCAGCACCATGGGAAAGGCTATGCCAGTTTCATGCACCTACACTTCCAGAAGGGCCTTTTCAAATATTCACTCATCTCAGCCTCTCTATCTCCCCTTTACACCAGGTTAGGCAGCCTGATGTGCTTTGCCATTTACTGCCATATTTTACAGTTGCTCCAGGGTAGATATTTTTGCTAGAAGAGCTTGAGCATCTTATTACTGCAGGGGATGCTGGAATATTCCAGGGCATCATTATGTTCCATTTTCCCCAATACCTTAAGTTCAGACAGAATATTATTTTGGCATAAAGACAGCCCAGTATCCAGGCAATGCAAATACAAACTGAAGCCTCAAGTAGCAATTTTATCCTCTGCTTTGCTAAGAAATAGGCAAATCTGCAAGCATGAGGCTGAAGATGGCCTATGCAATAGCCAATTGAAGAGCTCCCCTCTTGTAAATTAGCTCTTTACTTTTGAGCAATGCTTCTGAAATGCCAGAAGTCTGCTAAACTATGAGACAGCTGACACTGAACATTTCCAATTCTTATAGGAGCAGCTTAAGTTTCATTATTATTTCAAATGAAACCTCCCTATTAGAAAATATTTTGAATAAACAAAATTTTAATTAAACTAGATTTTACTACTTTAAAATGTCTGTTTTGAATGGAATGATAAAACTAAACAAAAAAAGTTGTAACCATTCTTGTTTAAAAAGTAACCGTTAGTCCTTAAAAATTATTTTCATATGAAATTATATGGAGATGACCATGTTCCTGTGGACTTTTGTTGAAATGGCATTTTTAAGCATAGTAACCCCCTACATATTACAGAAACTCTAGAAAAAGTGTAGCATAAGCAGAAAAAGTCTAGTATAATTCCTTTATTCACAAAGACTGGCTTGGAACTAAGGGAAACATTTAAAAAAAAAAACCACAACAAACATATTTACTAATTATCTACTATTTTTAATTTTTCCAGTATGGTATTGTACTGTGTTCCTATAGTACAGACAACCACTTTGTGGTTGTTCATAGAAGATCTTAATTATCTTGTGTTTTGGGAAGTATTAACAAAGAAGAGGATGCTGATGTGGGAGACATACCATTGTTATCAGATGTGTATTATTTGTTTTAAAACATTTTACAAACATATGAGTTTCAAAATCCAATTCAATCTAGCCATTTCTGTCATTATGGCTGGGGGGGGGGAATATCACACTTACCTTTTGCTGTTAGATCAGAGTGCCACCAACTGCATAGATTAAATTCCACAAGGAACCTAAAGAAATCATTAGAGTTTTCATATTATCCTACAGAATGTTTTCAAAGCACAAAACTGGCAGTAGTTCAACATCATTAATAAAAGCTGACACAGAAATGAAATTTGTGTTACTAGGATAACTGGGATTATCAACTACTGCAATTCTCTTATTTTTATCTTATCACAGAGAATTTATTGTGACTTTAACCCCATCACCATGTAACAGGTTTACCTGTTATTAATTTAAAGTACTGATCTAATGTGAAGCGTCCAATTCCAATGCATGGCAACACACAGTATTTTTACTGTCAAACATTAGTGAACATTATTTCTTCATATTTTGACTCTCAAGTAAAATACCATAGGATTATAACTTTCCTGGCTACAGCAAAAGAGTATACATAAAATCCTTGCTTATATTAATTCTGGCACTACAATAGTAAAACTAATTTATTTCTAGGAGCAGAAAAGATTGATTAAGCAGTGTCTAACCAGCTCTAAGTAGATGTGTAGAGAATTTTCCCACTAAAATATATTGCAATTCAGTTATTGTAATTGTAAAGAATGTGGAAACAACATGCAGGTTACCATATGCACGTGCAACAATACTTATAAACACACAAATTTTCTTCTATAGCTAGCATCAAAGTCTCATTTTAACATGATTTCTTTCCCTGATATTTACTTGGAAAGCTGTATTTAAGCTCATCCTCTGCCCTCTGGCAATAACCGTTTGGTTTAACCCTTTAACTCTTATTCCAAACTTTGACTGAAGCTCATATAATTCACAATTAAAACAAAATTACAAGAAAAAAATAGTTCTATACCAACAACAATAAAATTAATTTTTATCTGTAACTGTGCTCTCTTACAATAAAAAAATAAATGTATAGGCTAATAATACATGATACAATTTAAGGCTTCCTCTTCTCCATCAGATATTTCTCTGCAATTTCTTAGACAATCTCTCTTAAAGGCCATGCTCATTCTGTATTAACTTGAAATCTTAGAAGAATTAGGCCAGGTCAAAAAATTCAGCAACATCCAGAATCCACTTAATCTGGCAAATACTGTAAAAGGTCCATCTTACAGAAATTTGGAAGTGACAATCAATACAGTGAGCCACTGTAACAATTTGCTATATTGGCAGCAGCCCACCCAGGCAGCACTACAAGCAGCAATACTGTAAAATTTAACAGTAACCACAATAATAAATTTGGTTTGCATACCATGATCTGCCAGGCTTACTAAGCAAGCACATACAGGTATCAGCAAAGACCATGAAAAACATAATAAGTACACCCCATTTTTTCTGATTTTAACAATGCAAAATTGGAAAGAAAAAAATAACAAATATTACTATATTTCAAATCATATAATAGAAGCATCACCAATGCATTTTAAAGGCAAAAAGCACAAGTATTCATTCAGTATTCAAAAGTACAAATGGTCATTATTTCATACAATTAAGTTCTTGATAAAATTTACTTACAAGACAAGCTCAGTCATAATCCATTTTACTGCAGCAAAGAAGGCATTATAAGGCTGAAGAGAAGCAACTAATTTAATAAAAAGGCAGAACATGCAGTATTTATATCTTAACTGAATTCTTCATGTAAAGACAATGTTATGGATATTAAAATGCATGGGTAGCATGAGAAAAAGAACTTTCTTATAAAGAAACAAATATTACTATACTGAATATTAAAATACAAAGTAATGAAATTTCCTTTTAATGTCGTTGATCATATACACAGAACATCAGTTAGAAAAGGAAAGTTTTGCAAATGATTCTTAAATATTTAACCTCTAGGGGTTCCTATTTCCCAGGGTATTGCTGGAGGAATAGCTCTGGTAGATAACATGAGCTTTTCTTAGGCTTCAATTCACAGACTTGCTGCTCTATAATATAAATATTCATTATCTCAGTCTAATTAGGCTAGAGAAAACTTCTGAAGTTTGAATTTACCTAAATGAATATATGTGTGTCATTTTTAAGGCTCAGTTATTAGCACTTTAAGTAGTTTTTCAGATTCTTCCCTTCTCTGTTTTTTTCAATCGTAACAAATATAGCAAATACTTTGGAAATTTTGTGTTTACAGCACTTCTACTACATTTTGAATGTTGTATTTCTGAAAAGAATATCAATAGGATTATTCTTTTATGTAATAATCTTAGGTAGAAAAGTTAAGTTTCCAGAAATTTGGAAAGGAATCTACCTTTGTCTCACACATTTGTGTTAGAGCCTCCTAGTTGCATAATTTTTTTCAGACTTTTCAGATTCCATATCAAGAGAGTATTTTAGTATATCTAAGAGGTCATATTGACTTTAAGAACATTACTCAGGTATCTAAAATCATGCTTAACCATACTGAATCAGTATTACTGCAAAAGGCTGATAACTCTCAGAGCCAATGAACTAGTATCAGTCAGTGGCATGAGAGGTTGAAAGAGCAAGGCAGCAGAATGTGTAATGCCCAAGACAGTAGAGATTTGCACTTCATTAAGGACTGTTGTATAGGAAAAGATAAAAAGCTACTAGTCTTTCCTAGAGATGAAAAGAAAACAGAAGGTCAGCCCTGTGGGACATCTTATTTATTTTAATTCTAAATCAGAAAACCTGAAAGGTTTTAGTGGATAACAGACTGGTAAGTGCAGCAAATCCAAATTTGCATGTTCTTGGAAAACACAGAATCAGGTAAATATGTGAACAAAGACATCTTAAAATACATGTTATTATTAAACCAGAGAAGCTATATACAGCTAGTTGGAAGTTGCCAGAACTTTGACATTTCTCAACAGTTTAACTATATGTAGATTTTTTTGTGTCTTGATAGATCCATGTACATTTGAAAATACTATCAGATAGATTTTCCAGACTGTTAAAATCTGTGTTTTGCTAGTGTCTTTATATAAGAATTTTTCATGTTAATACAGTCCTATCTTGTTCTTTTTTTTTTAATATGTAGAAAGTGTACTTTGTCTAACACCTTACAGTAAAATACACACATGATGATAAAATACCTTTGGGTTTATTAGCTAGAGATATGAAATAGTAACAGGGAAATGTTGCCCTTGCAAGACCCAGCTTGACTCTAATTAGGTCTTGCAGAGAGACAAGGTCTCAGATCTGTCTGCAAGACAAGGGTTTCAATGCAGTGAAATTCTACTTTAAAATGGATCTTCTTTAAACACTAAGAAAAAAACCCAAAAACAAACTTGATAGAATCACTGGCTTGTGTGCCTTGGCAATGAACCAATCCATTCACATGAAAAAAATCTCAAGTTTTAATCTAAATTACATTTCTGCCTGCATGTGTTTGCATACAGAAAAGGCATATATGATTTCAGTCCCCCAAACAAAGCACAATCAATTGCCAAAATTACAGTCCTAGGAAGGAGGATTCATATGTTGGAAAGGAAATTCCAACAAAACCTTAGAAATGGTGACCCAGCATTAAAAATGATTGTGTAAGTATTTGAACCTTGAAAGTGCTTAATACTCTGTGTTTGTTTAGAATGAACCATTTCCTTGTATGGAGTAGGATAAACACAAAGAGCTGTGAGCATTCCAAATCAAAATAATGGGCTTGCAATGGCCATGAGATATTTGCAACAATTTTCTTTGATGATTGCATGGAAGGGTGCTCAGAAAATTGACTATACTTACGTCCAGTAAGCTATGGGCACTGTCGCTACTCTCTTTGTTTGTTCTACACATGGCCTGGTAGTCATAAAGTGTAATTCTACAGAGAAGAACAGAAAACTGCTTGACTACAAGAAGAAAACACAGTGGAATAAAATTGATGATATGGAATAGTCTGCTCACAAAGTAGACAGGAAAATAAAAATTGTAAAACAGCAGCAGGGAAAAGAGAGGAAGGGATAATTAAAATTCAGGTTACACAAAGGAGAATAAAGGTAAGAAACACTGAAAACTTTATAAAGGCATTCTATCAGACTACAGAACAAAGCAAAAGCTTAACTGGGAGAAATCAGGGAAATACACATACAGTGTAACACACAATGGTATAAACAATGCAAGGAGGGGAGGATACACATTCAACATGGTGCTCAAACAATTGGTTCTGGACTGAGATCAGCACATTTAGCCCCAGAAAGTGAAAGAAGCTATGCATTTGAGGGGCTTCTCACAACAGACAACCCCTGAACTCCAGTAAAGGCAAAAAGATGCTCCTATAATTCTTTGTGCAGAACTAATTTGTAAAAAACATGATGTTTCTTCCAAAGAAAATAGAGGTGAAATTTCAGAGTATTCACAGTGCAGGTAGCTGAAGCAGGATGGGTTCACTTTTGCTTCTTTTCACATCAGGTATCTGCTGTAATCAGAATCTGCTAGAAGCCTCCTCAGATGCACAGTAACCAAGGAAATTTCTTTTTGTTTATGATTTTACTCATCACAGATACACTTCAGAGATCTAAATGTAAAATCCAGAACTCAGAGATAATATATGGAATTATGATTATTTATCTAAATCTGTCTGTCCATAGAACAATTAATTAACTTTATCCATCCACATAAAAAGCATTTAACATCTATAGCAGATGTAAAGAATCTTCAGCTGATAAGTTGCAACAAGCATAAATATATAAAAGTTATTAGTATTATTTGTACATATCAATTTGACTTTCGCATCATCAGAGGGATAAAGAAACACAATTGGACATAGATGGTTTATGAGATGGGACTTCAATGTTTTGTAATGTGTGCCTTGCTCCTAAGCAAAGAAGAAAGGAGAGCACACAAATTCAGCTGTGCAAAGGATGCCCCAGAAGCTGCCAAAAACAGGTCATGAAATGCATTGAGCATCACCATGAGGCATTCTGCACTGCATGCCATGAAACGTTGCAACCTGTACCAACAAGATGTCATAATCCATTGTGGTGGAAACTACATAGAATTTTTCTGATCTAATTTTGTGACAGCAACCATGACTAAAAGCATCTTTATTATGCCTATATTTTCTTTTTGGCTTACAGGCAAAATATCTAATATATCGGATCTTGCAGCTTCAACTCAACATTTAGTGCATGGTCATACTGTTTACATTAGTAATTGTATCTTATATTCAGAATAGAAATGGCTAGGAAGCCATTGTTTTGTGGACTGGCAGAGAGAGGCACATGGTAGACAAACGCATAACTAGAGACCTAAACATGGGTGTAAGTTGAACACTGACCATATTTGGCAGAATGACGCCCACAGCCAGATCCGCGCACACAGATCTGCCAAGACAAACAGAGCAGTACATGGTGTAAGCTGTGCTGCCTCTGTGGCATGCAGTAATACACCACTTCCCCTAGCTGTTTTTTTTGTTGGGATTTTTATGTTTTGCTTTATTCTCCCTCCTTCAACCATGGTCAGAATCCAGCCCCTGTAAGGTAATCTCTACAGCTCAGCATTTCCTGTCGTGGTTGGTTTAACTGTTTTACTCCTCTAGATCCAAGGACCACATTGCATGTCCACTTGGACCTTCTAGTGATGGTGGCAAGTGGTAAGTGCAGGAAAGGCAGCTTACAGATGCTAAAAATCTCTCTGCAGCATAGTCTAGGAATTCTATATGGATGAATTGGTACCATCCTGCTTCATTCAACACATAGTGTTACAAGTAGATTAGCATTCAGTTTTGTCTTTATTCTTTGTGTATCTGAGATTTTCTTCTCACTCAGACAGGCCTACCCTTTTGAAGAGCTTGTATTTCAGTTTCAAACAACTCTTTGCAGCTAATAGCATCCTCTTCAACTGACTATATTTAGTGAACGTAGCTGTCTGCTTCCCAGGATCTAATTTAAAGTCTATCTAGATGCCCAAGTCCATGCTATGTATAACAGCTATGCATTTTGCTGTAAATCTGTAAAAATGCAGGAGATGCTGTTGGTACAATGTGCTTGAGACTTTCTGACATCACTGTGCTTTTAACTCCGTATTTCCACACCTGGTCACTGAAGTTTGCAGAGCGGTTGTATGCAACATCACTCATAGGAAAAGCGTGGACGATGTACAATCATCATTAACTACTGGAAAGTAACAACAAAATCTAAATGTGCGCCTCCTTTGCATATAACTTCAGGGACCAAATACATTTTGTCAGTTTTATTGTCAGTTTCCTCATACAGTAAATTCCAGCCTTGCAGTTTATGCTGTACTTACAATTGAGTAGGACTCTAGTTCAAGAAAATTAAACTCTAAGACCTACCAGCAGCACAGGCTATAAGAACAAATGTGCTCTATTGCTTTCAGCTACATTTTCAGCACATCTATGGACTTCTGTTTGGTAGTGTACAATACCAATACTGACAATTATAACATCTGAAAGGTTTTCAATACATAACACTTCAAATTATTTGTCATCAGTTCACCGTTTGGGAGTTGTCATATAATGTGTAGGAATAATAAGCTTCTTATCATGGAAGTAAATGTCAAGTCCATAAAAAAAAACAAAAAACAAAAACAACACCAACAAAAAACTCAAAAAAAAAGAAAAGCATAGGAAGCCAGTAATAAAGGAAGCCCTAATTATTGACACTAAGATTTACTCAGTAGTCTGTGTAAAAGCTAATAGTGACTATAGCTCACTTCTGTTGGAAAGATGTTCATTAACTCAGACACAAGATATGCAGCCTGCCTGGCATTCTCACCAAGACAGGAAGGACAGACAGTGTTGAATGGTTTGAAGGGTAAACTAGTTTTTAAAGACTAGAGAGGGTCCTTGTGGGACACTAAGAAATCCTGTACTGTTGCTGCCCTGACTCTCCCATCTTCGTTGACAGACAGATTATTAGTGCCCAGAAGCTGTCAGACTTATACCTTTCACCACCGAGAAAATCAACAGAAAGCATAAAAATAAATTACAGCATTTTGACAAAACAAATTTGTCATCACGTACCTTTACCTTTATTGTTCAGCTATCCCCAATTGCCAAGGTGCTCCAAAGCATATCATATATAAAAACTACAACTCAACCTGTATTTCCAGTATACAGAATGAAAACTCATTTACATAGCACACATGCCTGGGTTTCTCCTTAAGTGGGTAAAACAACTCCCATGTAATAATGCACTGCATTAAATTAGTGGTAATATTTACAGAAATATAAACTCTAACTATGCTCAAACTCAGTTTTGAGACATTAATTCTAGATGTCACATGGACAAAATATGAACAGAAACACACTACACAGCAGTGTGGGAGTTTCAGAGCACAGATACCAGACGGACATCTGGTAAATGAAAAAAAAAAAAAAAAAAGGAACAGGGCTCTTCTTGTTGGTAATGACAGACATTATTTGGCTTTTTTGTACTTGCTTGTAAACCTGCATTAGACAGTCTGCTACATTATTGCCTTTCTGACAGCTATTTCTTTCTTGAGAATGGAACAGAATTCTTCAGGGCAGTACAATTACATATTATTCATTGAGAAATGGAGGATCAAGGAGGGGTGCAGGCCTCATACATGCTCTGCAGTGCCCATGACAGCTAATATAGAAGATGATTATTGGAAATAGTCCCCTTATTTTTCAACGCCTTCTGCCTGCCCATACAATAACCACTCATTTATCCACCTGGCTATTTTTTATCCTATTTATGCCAGATAAATATTTTGATCTTGCTTTTTCTTCAACTAAAAAAATAATCACTAAAGATTTTTAAGAACTGCTACATTTCAGAACTTCTGCATCACAGTTGCATATTGGACAAACAATTACAAATCCACTACTCCAATTTGAATTGTTCCTTGACTCCAATTTGAATTGTTTCTTGACTCTATCACTGAGAATTTTAAAATGTGTCCACTTCACACCTTAGCTGAAGCTTCAAGAAATGTTATTAAAATGAATGCTTAAATAAGAAAGAGTGGCCTAAAATAAAGAGAAAAATATCCTTTATTTGGATGCTGTCCTGCCTCAGTGGAAATCAATATCCTGTTGGTGAGCAACTAGTTACTGCTTTCATTATTTGGCTTTAAGAATGTTCTGCTCTTTGCAAGGAGCTTAGTAAAGAGTTCTGAATTTTTTTTATAATCTTATAACCTGAAGGCAAAACACTTGTTAAGTTTTGCTTATAAAGCAAATCAAGAGAGAGAGAGATGAAAGCCTGCCTATGTGCATGCATTTGGAGCCCAGAGGCAAAGGATTTGGACTGTATGGTGCCGCAAGGGCACAGCCAGGACGTGTTAGTCACCGGGCGGCATGTGGGTGCAGATAAAAGAACAGAGCAAGAAAAAGAGAAACAAGAGACTCTCTTGAAGCAACAAGAACTTATTAGAGGGAGCGTTAGGATCCGGGAAAGCTGCAATTCAGGAGGGCACCATTTCAGGCACATATCCTGAGAGCACAATTAAATACTAAAGCATGGACCGTTCTCCAGAAGCCAAGAGGACGGCTGGTGAAAGAGAACAGTTATGAGGAAATTATGTTGATTCTACATTTGACTTATAGAATTACTTAGGTTTCCTCCTGCTGGAAAGGATGAGATAGTTTTGAAGTCAAGAGATATGTAATTTTCTCTTATAGAATTATTGTTAATTTCTGTGGGAAATTCATTGCTTCGATAGCCCTTAATTTTTCTGTGTTAATGTGAGGTTTTTCAGATTTTCATGCTTTGAGCAACTGAATGTATTTTTGCACTGTTTTTATATAAAGTGCTGAGGAAATCATAAATAAACTTTTTTCTAGATTATGTGAAGCAGATACTTTTCCATAAGCACATTCTAATTTATTTTATAATAAATTTAAATTATATTTAAATTATTTAACCGTGTGCAGTATTCAGGATATAAGATAAAATTCATTTTGCCAAATGAAATCATAGAACATGTCACGTTGCTGTGGAGGCACTGATATAATTTTTCTCCCTAAATATAAAACTCATTAACTAAGAAAATATACATACATACATACACCTTATTCAAAAGCAGTACTGAGTTTAAAGAAATTGAGGAGGGAAGGAGGTATTTAAGTTCACTTTAAAAAATAAACAACGAACATCAAAATTGAATTTCATCCTGCTGCAAGTTGAAAAGAAATATAGTCAGCAGCAAACAACCCTCTTTTGTTTAACACTTCCAGCTCAATCCTAAAAAGAACTTCTATATCCCTCCAACTAAGTGGTAGTTGAGAGAACACACAAAAGGTTATTTCATTCCTTTTGTGGATGGAGAGCCTGAAAGCTGGCATGAATCAGCGAGGTGGTAGCACATATCTGTGCTGCCACTCAGATGATTGGTGCAGAAGGAAGCAAAGACTCCAACCCCAAAGTCACCAGGGATGTTAGCAAATTCTTCTGCAATGAAGATCAGGCACTGCAGAACATTCTACTTCTAAACTAAACAAAAAACAAGCAGGACTAGATCAAACAGGGCAAAGCCATGTAATTCACCTGCCAGACAGTAAATGCCATATATGAAACAAATTGCAAAAAAGGATGGCTTGGGATATCAGAATAAAAGGCTAAAGAACAGTTCTTGCTCTCTGTCTCCATTGTAAAAGCAGCAATAACAAGTAAAACAGGCAAGATCTATATTGTTGTGCTCTCAGGGAAAGGGTACTAGTAATAGATTTTGCCATGGTGTTAGTCAATGCTTTTATTCTTTACTTCTTATTCTACACAAAATAAATTTTGGATAAGCAAAACACAACCTCACCCAAACAAATTAGTAATCTTCAAAATATGGTAAACGTATTTAGTGTTTTTCAAGAGACCTAGCAAAAATTATTCTTCATATTGCTGGAATAATTTCTTCTAAAGGCCTCATCTAGCAAAGCTTAAAGAGAGTTTTGGATATTTCTGGTGTCTCACAGAGCTATCTACTGTACAGTAGGAAAGCAGATGGCTCTTTTAGTGCAATTACATCACTTTGACTCTCTCCCATTTTTAATTGATTGGCAATGGCCAGTGTATTGTGTTAAAATAATCAAATCATGCTTACATTTTTTAAAAGATTTTCTTCAGTATGCAGCTCAGTTGTCCTGAGCTAGCAGGTTCATTTTCTGTAACTCCCCTGGAGCTCATGGCCAGGCAAAATCTTCACCAAATAACCCAGCCCAAACCGGTGCCCACTGCAGACTAGATTGAATACTCAAGGCATGCAGTCTTTGTTTTCTCAATGGTGGTACCTACTGTTATCTATTGTTACATACATAACTGGTTTGAAACGCTTTGTTAGGCAGGACAAAACAAATTTGGACAAATTAAAGCATTATCCCTTGCTTTTGACTGCATGATTTTGTCTACATTAAATAAAATGCTTCAACTTTTATGTAAACAGACCTTTTCATCGTAGAACCCGGTCAATAAATATGTATTACTTCACTTCCTTTCACAGCATATGTCAAGAACGTAATGCTAAACACAAAAAGATTGCCACCCTCGGAAAACTGGGATCTGGGAGGATTCAGTGAGTGCTACATCTTTCCATTTCAGGTCATTCACTTACTGGGAGTGGTACTCAACTAGAATGCACAGAGGCAGCAGGGAAAGCTTTCTGCCTTTAAGATAGCTGGTTAATCAAGGAAGCACACAAACCATTTTTGAGAGCCTCTGCACACACCCTCACATGTAATAACTAAATTCAGTGGTTGATGGGATCTGTGATGTGTCTTTGTTTAGTACTAGAAATGCACAGGAAAATAGAAGACACAAGTGTAAAAGATATGGTCAGCACTTCTCTCCTGCTGTAAAAGGACAAAGGGTAAGGAACCGCT